TATATATATATATATATATATATATATATATATATATATATATATATATATATATATATATATATATATATATATATATATATATATATATGCGCGTGTAATATCCACAATACAATCTTTATTGATTTGGAAGGTTCAAGTAAAAAGTTGAATGTAGTCAATTGCATGGCTATGGTTTCCTGCCAACTTGCTACGAGCAATATGAGGTCATGTTTGCAGCTTGAGTGACTTTTATCGATTCTTCTGTACTTAACGTCGCCTTTCTCTGCAGCAGCATGAGGGCCGAAGAAAAAATAAGAAAAGTTCAGGTTCCATCGCCAATCGGCACGAGAAACCATGCTGATCATATGCTCTTCTTGTGACGTGATCACGAGTGGCTTGTGTTCTCCTCCAGCTTCATGCACCACCACCACTGCACTGCATCCCGTGTTTGACTTCCAAGCTTTTGAGCAATTTCTTTCTTAGCCACGATCCTTCTCCCATTCTCTCAAGTTCGAAGCATGCTGTTGAGTAAGTAATCACCACCCTACGATCTGCAACCGATGCTGAATCGTCAACATGATAGTGAACTCAAAGTAGATCACGTTTCGTGACACAAGATCACACCTACAATGGCCATGGCGATGCCTGAGGAGGAGAACAATTGGGCTGGTCCAAGAGTCGAGCTGCAGGTGATGGTAACCCATTTGGACAAGTTATGTACAGTGCCTGTGATACCGTCGTTTTCTTCCTTGAATTCCTTCTCGCTTTTAGGCAAGTCATATGTGCTTCAGTAGAGGTGTTTGTTTTCTCAGGCAAAGCATCAGAGATCAACGATTTCATCCGACCGTCCTCGCAAACACAGAGTCTCGTCCAGTATCGCTCATCGAGTATGACCATTATATGAGTTGCGGTGCACCGCCATCCTCACAGCATCTCTGGGTGATATGTGTCGTTGCTTTATGGGCTCCAAGTCACCTGTGCGTGCTCTCTCTGGGTCGTCGAAGTCTCCGGTCTAGAATTGCTGCTGCTTCAATTGCACCAACCCCCTCCACTCCTCCATCAGCTCCTCTGCAGTCCTTTCTTTATAAGGATCGCCTCCGCCCTGTATAGCAAACGAAGGCTTCGCTTCCCGGAGCGAGCAGCATAGCCGAGGAGCTCTCTCTTTCTATCCATCGATCTTCGAGAGATGGCGGTGAACATAACCTCCATAAAGACCGCATCGAATGGGGTGTGGCAAGGCGACAACCCCCTGCACTTCGCCTTCCCGCTGCTCATAGTTCAGACCACCCTCGTGCTCCTCCTCGGTCGCTCCCTCGCCTTCCTCCTCAAGCCCCTCCGCCAGCCCAAGGTCATCGCGGAGATCGTCGTAAGCCTCCTCGTCTGACTAATCTAAGTCACTCCTCTTCGGTATACATGATCTGCAAACCACCGCTTTAGAACTACATGAGCTTTACATGACGCAGGCTTTTCGCCACTAGGCATACATGCATCGACTGCAGTGGTGCTCATGAACAAACACTGGCTTCTTTCACAGGGTGGGATTCTTTTGGGGCCTTCGGCGCTCGGCCGCAACAAGACGTACTTGCACAAGCTCTTCCCCTCCTGGAGCATGCCCATCCTCGAGACGGTGGCCAGCATCGGCCTCCTCTTCTTCCTCTTCCTGGTCGGCCTCGAGCTCGACCTGCGCTCCATCCTCCGAAGCGGCCGCCGCGCCTTCGCCATCGCCGCCGCCGGCATCTCGCTCCCCTTCTCCTGCGGCGTCGGCGTGGCTTTTGTCCTCCGCAGCACCGTACCCGGGGCCGATGTGGCCGGCTACGGCCCCTTCCTCGTTTTCATGGGCGTCGCCCTCTCCATCACTGCCTTCCCCGTCCTCGCTCGCATCCTCGCCGAGCTTAAGCTCCTCACTACACCGGTCGGCGAGACCGCCATGGCCGCCGCCGCCTTCAACGACGTCGCCGCGTGGGTCCTCCTCGCCCTTGCCGTCGCTCTCTCCGGGACCAGCGGCAGCGGCAGCCACAGGAGCCCCGTCGTGTCGCTCTGGGTCCTCCTCTGCGGGATGGCTTTCGTGGCTGTGCAAATGATTGCAGTGAGGCCGGCGATGTCCTGGGTGGCGAAAAGGGCGGAGAGCGAAGGAGGCGAAAGCGAGGTGTGGATAGCGCTCACTCTCGCCGGGGTCCTAGTCTCAGGATTCTTCACCGACTTCATCGGCATCCACTCCATCTTCGGCGCGTTCGTGTTCGGCTTGACGGTGCCGAAGGACGGGGAGTTCGCCGGGATACTGATCGAGAGGATCGAGGACTTTGTGTCGGGGCTGCTGCTGCCGCTCTACTTCGCGTCGAGCGGCTTGAAGACGAACGTTGCAAGCATCAAGGGGGGAAAGGCGTGGGGGCTTTTGGCGCTAGTAATCAGCACGGCATGCGCCGGGAAGATAGTGGGAACGTTCGTGGTGGCAGTGGCGTGCAGAATGGTGGCCAGGGACGCGTTGGCGCTCGGCGTACTAATGAACACCAAAGGCCTCGTCGAGCTCATCGTTCTCAACATCGGCAAAGAAAGAAAGGTACGATAGAATGAGTGAATCCCAAAATGTTACAAGATTTTATTCATGACACGTTCCTTATGACGTGGCAGGTTCTCAACGACGAGACGTTCGCCGTAATGGTGCTCATGGCGCTCTTCACCACCTTCATCACCACCCCCACCGTCATGGCCATCTACAAGCCCGCCCGAGCTCACGAGCACCGCAAACTCCACCGCTCTGCCTCCTCCTCCTCCCCGCCGTCCGCCGCCTCCGACCCTAAGGAGCTACGTGTCCTCGCCTGCGCCCACAGCCCCCGCGACGCCCCCTCCCTCATCACCCTCATCGAGGCCATCCGCGGAGGCGCCCGCCCCCGGCCGTCCCCCCTCAAGCTCTACGTCCTCCACCTCGTCGAGCTCACCGAGCGCTCCTCCTCAATCGTTATGGTCCGCCGCGCCCGCCGCAACGGCCTCCCCTTCCTCAACCCTCTCCGACGACGCCAGCCGCAAGACCAGGTCGCGCTCGCCTTCGACGCCTACGGCCAGCTAAGCCACGTCCGCCTCCGCCCCATGACGGCCGTATCCGCCCTGCCCACCATGCACGAGGACGTCTGCAGCGTCGCGGAGGATAAGCGCGTGTCCCTCCTCATCGTCCCTTTCCACAAGCGCCAGCACCGCAGCCGGGGGGACGACGGCGCCGCCGCCATAGAGAACGTGGGGCACGGATGGCGATCCGTCAACCAGCGGGTGCTGAGGGAAGCCCCCTGCTCCGTGGCCGTTCTCGTGGACCGCGGCTTCGGGGAGGGGGAGCAGGTGGGGCCGACCGAAGTGACGCGGGAGGTCTGCGTGCTCTTCTTCGGCGGCCCCGACGACCGGGAAGCAGTAGAGCTCGCGAGCAGGATGGCGGAGCACCCCGGAATCCGTGTCACCGTAGTGAGGTTCATCACGCAGAAGAGTGGAAACGAGGATCGGCAAAACGTCACGCTTCGGCCGTCGCCATTGAAGAGCGCCGAGAAGAGCTACACCTTCTCCACCGCGGTGATGGATCGCGAGCGAGAAAACGTAAGGTTTCTTTGAGTCACCCTTTTCACAACACACAAAGCATGCCCCGGCGTAGTAACCGACGGTTGCTAACGATGTGCGACAGGAGAAGGACGATGCGGCGGTTGAGGCGTTCCGCAGCAAGACGGACGAGACAGAAGGAACGGCAAGGTACGAGGAGAAGACAGTGGGGAACGTGATAGAGGCGGTACTCGCGATCGGCAGGAGCGGCGCATTCGATCTGGTAGTGGTGGGGAAGGGGCGGTTCCCGACGTCGATGGTGGCGGAGCTCGCGGGCCGGCCGGCGGAGCACCCGGAGCTAGGCCCCATCGGCGACGCGTTGGCATCTTCAAGCAACGTGGTGTCGTCGGTGCTAGTGGTCCAACAGCACGACGTGGTCCACTCGGACGAGACGCCGGTGTCGATGGTGTTGGGGGATGGCGCCGACGCCGTCGTCCTCGAGGTGGACGGCAGCAAACACTAAGCTGAAGCTAGCCGAGGGTAGGATGATACAGTACGTATATTGTTACAGCATCAACAGGCAAGTAGCCTTCCTAGTAGGTCAAGTGATGCATATCATATTCATCCTTCAACTTGATATTAGTGTTACTATCAAATATTCCATTTCAGTTCCTGGCATCTAGCTCATTTAACCACTATGACATATATTATCCATCTAAAGAGAATACTGGTTAGTTTATTGATTCCCCTTCATTTATTTGATTAAGGTTTTTTATGTGTATATTGCAATAGATTAGCATAATTAACAGACCCAACCGGGTTGCTGTACATGATATTGTTAAGAATTTTGAATTAGAAAAGCTTGACACGAAAGTCTTTCAAAGATTTTTTAATTCAAAATTATTATTAGAAAAACTATCTTGGATGTCAATGTGATCAGACTTCTATATCCAAAATGAGATCTCGATATATCAAAGTAGAGACTAGTCTGCTAGATAAGCTTGACGAAATATAAAAAAAAAGACATAAGTACTAAGTCGGGTAGGTAGACCCAATGACTTAGTAAAGACCAACACATCATAAGACTTGCATTAGGGGGGGTGGCAAGTAAGGATCATTATTAAAAGGCACTTCAGTAACCATCGAAACATTTAGATCATTGTGATACTTTTAATGTATCTTTCTAAATCTTTGTCTCAGGATACCTCAACTTAAAATGGGCTAAAGCAATATAGTACGCGTACTTGTATAAGGCCACCTCCGACCTCTCCAGGCCCTTCTTAAACCCGATAAAGGCTTTATAGTTGACAATCGCCTGTTTTCGGTACCTCGATATCATGTTTCTCTCAGCCCTTAGTGTCTTATTCAAATACTGAATATGCTCAATTATACTCATGACTTCGTTTATCATAATAACTTGCTTGACGAGCTTAGAGTTGTATGTTCTCATTGAATCCGGCTCTCAAATAATTCGCAATAGCTCATCCTCCATTTTTGATTGTTGCTTCAGACCACCTTCAACTGTTCAGCATGATCAGCAAGGCGTCACTCGACCTTTTCTAACTACCATGCTAGCTTGGCTCCTTAAGCGTTTGCCCCAACTACAGTCACTCAGTCCTCTCTCTCTCTCTCTCTCTCTTCAACCCCTCCACCTCCTTGAAGAGACTATTAATCATGAGAGACTACTAATTAATAGTGGAGCCAGTGTCATACGTAGTTAAGAAGGATCATGACGTAATAGTGATACTATAAGTCAAAGACAAATGGGTTATCAATAATATATCAAAATGGTACTAAAGGGATTAACAACAATACAACGATAAGGTACTAAAAGGGTTAACAATAACTTAACCTATTAGCACTTATCACGGTAGCCCACGTTGAGCAAAATCTACGAGGTGGAACGACAAACTTTCTTCGCTATCCCGGAGCATAGGGACCCTCGAGAGAATTGCAACATGGCTCCAACATTACCCCATATTTTCTACCCTTTGTGTATACCCTCTCATCTTGGTGGTAGTAGTACATCTGAAATTGGGTTCGATAAGTTAGTTATTATCAATGTTGCGAAAGGTAAGGAGTTGCCCTTGCATAGGTCTAACACCAATCTTTATCTCTCTCATCTTCTTCCAAAGGAGGACCTTGAGCTTCATGGGTCATGTAAAGATGCTAGTGCCTTAAAGGCAAGAGGCACTTTATTTGATTCCTCTTTGAGAATCTACTCCCCCTCAGGTTCTTCAAACCATTGAGGACGGGACACCTTATGTACGATGTTTTTCTTTCTTAACTAGCCAGTGATGAAAGGATAGTCAGATCGAGTCAGGGCCAATGCCTTTGAGTGATGGCTTGCACATATATGAAGGAGGAGTTAAAGAGGCCACCGCTATACTCGAAGAGGAACTAGCTTCATTTCTCCTCAAAGCTCGAAGATTCATACTTGTACAAGATCAAAGTCATGAGGCTACACGGGATAATTTTTCAAAGTGCAAAATAAACTGAGAATGCAGGGTATTCATATCTACCCTGAGGAGTCGGGTTGAGACTTGCTTTGATCAACCAATCCTCATCCATCTTCCTGATAGCCTTCAAAGAAGAGAATATATATCTTAATTGAAGTTCTTGATCTACCTCCTTATCCTACAGGAAGGGAAATGTATTATCTATGAAGTCTACAAATCAGATAAGACTAAACCCTAAATCCCAACATGTATCTATGAGGAAGAAATACTCCTTTTCAACCATTAAAGCCCTCTCAAACAGCCAAGTAATAATTATTTTTTACCTTGCACAACCAAACACAAGTGGTAAAGAGTTTATGAATCGGGGTAATATCGACGTGGCAACATTCCCTAATGAACACTATCAAAGAGCGTCACAAGTTGAGTATCATCTATTGGGAAATCTGGGTTATCATCACATGCGCAGCGGAAGAACAGAAAAATAAAATCTCAAAATTTCTCGCATAAAAGGTCTCATTGTTGTACAAAGATTGACGTGCAAAAACTCGTAAAACTAAAAACTACATGTATATAAAAGATATATTCCCTAGGGAGATCGTATATCCCTGAAAACCTACAGATCCATAGGAGAGGATGAAGGAGGTCAACTATCATCCTCTCTAGCGGTGATACACACGACAGGCGCTATGAAGATGCTCCTCAAATCACTGCACAATTATCCTTTACACATGCACCATACAATCAAGAAGGGGTCGGCCCTTTTTGTTGTCCACATGCTCTAATCTAGGGCTATTGGCTAAGGAAGAGAAGAGGAAGAGATGGGAGATAAGTATAGAAGGTGGCAGCCGAAAGGGTCTAGCCCTTTTGGTTATGTCCTATATATAGGTCTTTGTCAACTTAACCCTAATGAATTCTATCATATTGGGTATTGGATCTCCATCCAACTACCCAAGCTTATTAGATTAATGGATCTCTATTCAATAATCTCTCACTAGCTCTTATTAAATCTTATTCACAAGACCCAATAATTTATGGGCTAATTAGATATCCAATAAGATAGGGGCTCCAATGGATATTTCATATCTGAACCATTACTCATCGTAAGACCTATCATATGTATAAGACTCTCTATACCCAATATCGAGCTAGCCTTGAGTCAATACATATCAGAACTTCTTCTGACTTAGTGAATTATTATCTTTTATAATAGTTCATTCGACTCATCGACTATGGATGCACTAGGCCACTACGTCGCAGTCCACAAACGATACAATGGAATCAAATCCATTTGACTTGTTTGTTCTCAATTATCATGTATCTATAGTCCCTCATCCATCTAATATCCCAAAGATCGTATATCAGACATTATGTTGTCAGGCCCATACAGTTTCTACTCGAGTCTCGCATTAATTGGATTCTCTTGGAAAACACTTTCTCCTTAATCCGAATAATCTTGACCAGGGATTTTCCTAAGCAAGAACACATAAGATATTCCTCTCGAGACACCGAGAGTGGATAATCTTTATCGACACTCATTTGCCCTTGTAAGGTTAGTTGTCACTCCCGATGACTAGTTGTGTTAGATTTGAAATTTTCAAATCTATAAGTCTGGTATCAAAGAGATGAGTACTCATCCAAAATATCATTGGTGTCTCAAGTCTAAGGACCAGATATACCATTAGGACAACGAAATCGTTATCTAACAATGAGGTATCATCAACCATCTAACATTCCATGAGCGGATCGATCAGTTAAGCCACAAAGGTTGGGAAACCCGACCCTCCACCCTCGTTGTCGAGCCGTAGAGGTTGGGTACTTAACCCTCCCCATTCGTCACTCATGGAGGTCAAGAAACCTAACCCCCTCTCGTTGTCGAGATGTGGAGGTCAGGCACCCAACCTTCCCCTTTTACTGTCGTCGAGCCATAGAGATCAAGAAACCCAACCCCCTCTCGTCATTGAGGTGAAGAGGTCGGACACCCAACCCCTCCCCCCCCCTCCCCTCTCATTGTCGAGGCGTGTAGGTCAGGCACCCGACCTTTCTATTTCATTGTCATTGAGTTATGGAGACTAGAAAACTGAAAAAGCACCCCGGTCATCAAGGCACGGTGTCAAAATATCGACACCTCTTTGATGCATGATATTGTGGCTTTTGTTATTATTGCACCTCACTAGCTCTCTAGAGGTGGTCAAAGTTGTCTTTGCCATCAACATCCATAGCCTTGATGGCTAGATTATGTAAAGCTCCGACAGGGGGTTATCGAACCCCATGGAGGGCTAGAAAGTGATGATCGAGAATGCTGTCACCTCTTCCACAGGGTCGGAGCTCTAAGAGGGTAGTGACCAAGAGTTGTGGAGGTCAAAAAATCGACCCCATCATTGTTGACCTCAATGCTTGGAGGGTTGGGTTTACATCGATGAGAATTGGTATGTAGCCGAGGAGGACCTATTGATGAGGAACAACCCCTAATTGAGGGATAGAGGTCGTCGATTCAAGGCACAGGTCGGGCATCCCCAACCTCTATCAATGTTCGCCTAATATGCAGACTAAGAGAACCAATCGAAGAAGCATAAGTTTAATATGATGGATGAATTAGACGTCGCACTTTGGATCCCCCTTTCGAGAGCCCTTGAAGCACGCTTTTGAGGGTGGATAAATGATAGATAAAGTATGTCAACTAATCTCTCCCTTGCTCGCATGAATAAAGGAGAAGAGAAGATTCTTAGAGGTAATTAGGAGCTACCTCAGTACATAATATTTCATAAATATTAGATCCATTTATATAAAAACTTATTTTTGACATAATAAAAAAGATAATCACACATATTCATAATAACTATCATAAGTTAAACCTTATTTTTCATACATTCAGTTCAAGAGTTCCATATTTTCACCTATCGTACCATATCAATATAATTATGATATTAATAATATTCTCTCACAACACAACTCAATTCGCGTTCAGAATCAGATAACTATACCGGTAACTCTTCCCCAGCTACCGGTCACATTCTTGTTCCTCAACGTGTAGGATTAGAGTGGTATGTGCGGAGGTAAATTAGAATATTTTTTTCTCAGACCTACATTTGATTTTTTGTTTCGAAATATCACACGGCATATCAAGATATTTTTAAATTCCATATTTATATATCAAAAAATTATCAACAAAAAATAGGAACCACAAAGGTGTATAAAGTCACATACCCAGACACGTATATAAGAGAATCAAAAGTTAAATCGTCTCTGTGTCCTTCACATAATAGTTAGAAACTGAACTCCA